GTAAATTTTGGAAGCATAACAGTCATGACACCTAAACAACTCATTGAATTTGCTTGGGGCCTTGCAAATAATAATGAACCTTCTAGTGGATCATAAGGTCGGATCTTGTATCAGGGGACGATGCAATTCTTCCACCGGAATTCCTTGAAGCCACCAAAGAAAGAAGTCTGTTGGCAAATTGGAACCCTCAAGAGAGAGAGCAACCCTTCCATTGGAGGATTCTTAACTCCAGCGGATGGAATTCGATTCTTGAAAGTATTGACTGTAGAGTGCCAATAATTTGTTGGTCATTTTTCGCCGAGCAATAGACTAACTGTTGGTTCAGCTGCAACAAATGGGGGATTTGCATGGAAATTGATCGTAATTTAAAGAGGGATGAAGTGGAAATTCTTGTGAAAGAATTGATGATTGGAGAAAAGGGAAAAGAGATGTTGAGTTTAAATGCCAAACGAAAATGATTTTATTAACAAAAATATTTTCTTTACAAACACACACTTTGCTCACTCTCTTTGCACTCTTTCACTTACACACTCAAATACACTACTTATGTATTGAGCACACACACACACACACACATATAGACATTGGATTCTTCTACACAAATGTTGACGATTCTAGATAATTCCATAAATTAATTACAAGGAATTCTCATGGACTCTAGAATAATGGTGATCTATGGATTCTTCTAGGTTTCTCTAGTTAGTTGCATAAGGAAAGATCTAGAAAATTGGTGATAATTCTTCAATTCTCCCCTTTAGCACTGACTTTTCATTTTGACTATTTTCCTTTTCGTTACACCCAACTCTGCCTTAAACTCAATAAGTTTTGAAATGTTGTGTCCTTCATTTAATGCATCTGCTTCTTCAAATAAATTTGGCTCTTCGATGCTTTCATCTTCCTCAATTTTGATATTCAATTTTTTATGTCTACTCAATTTCCTTATTTGTAGTTGTAAATTTGTACATGCCTCAATATCTTGTTGATCCTCCGTTAAAGTTTTCTGGTCCACGTCATTTTGCCAAAAATTTTGTGTTGTTCTTATAAGTTATTCGTCATCCCTTGACACTTGTAGATCTTTAAATCCCTCAACACTTTGTTGTGCTTCCATGACCTCATCTTGTAATTTGTCTTTCGTTTTCTTTGAATCTAGTAGTTCCAGCCTCTGCGATGTCTCCAAATGATATACTTCTTCAAACACCTCTTCTGAGTCTATTAGTTCCTCCCTCGGCGGAGTCCGCCAAGTAGACTTTTTATGAACCATGATGTCATCTCCTGCTTCATCTATCCAATCATCTTTTTCTGATTCGTCGATCCAATCAGTTTCTTCTAAGTCATCACTCCAATCACTTTCATAATCTATTTGTTCAGGCAAGACCACTACCAACGCTGATTCATCCTTTATACTTGAATTGATTTTCTTTTCTCTAGTCTGCTCAATTACTGTTGTGGATGCCACAGCATCCCATTCTTCTTCACTATTATATATCTCTTGCTCGTTCGAGGTTGCTATATTGCCTTCTACTAGCTCCTTTTTAAACCAACAATCTCTAGCATAATGACCTCGTTTTCCACATACAAAACACGAACTATTAGTTCGTTGATATCCCTTAAACGGCCGACCTCTCTTGTCGCGACTTTGTTTAGTTCCCCTTGTCATAGAACATTCTCCATTTTCTTTTAATTCCTTATTTTGTTGGTGGATTCGACCTCTTCTTTTATAACTATATAGTGCTTCTTCATCCCTAACATTTGTTTAGTTAACGCTTCTTGGTCGGCCAGCAAATTTTCGAGATTGACCAATGAAGGTTGCTCTGGCCAACCTTGTATAGCAGCAATGAATCCTCTAAATTCGGGTCTCAAACCATGTATAATTATTCTTCTTATTTTAGACTCCGAAATGTTGCTTGAAGAATCCAATTCTGAAATTTCATGACAAAGAGATTTAATTTTATTAAAATATTGACTCACTATTTGTTCTCCTTGAGCGATAGAGAGTAACTCATTTTCCAACAATTGCAATCTCAAGTCATTTTTCTTTGAAAATAGAGTGGCTGGAGTGTCTCATGCTTCCTTTGGTGTAGACTTCTCTATTATATGTTCCAACAATTCTTCCTCAATTGTTGTTTTTATAACGAACATGACCTTACCCGCTTTAATTCTCCATTTTTTCAGAGCTCCGACCTCCTCTGGTGGCATCACGTCACTTCCACCAACAAATTCCCACAGGTCTTGCCCTTGGAGATACGACTCCATGCAAGTTTGCCATATGGTGTAGTTCTGATTATTGAGTTTCTTTACTCCACCTACCACTTGTAGGTCACCCATCGTGACTTGATTTACCTCTTCGTAATCAAGCAAGCCTTACAAAAGCTTCACAATCTCCTTTTGTTCATGAACACCCGAAACTCAAAATCCGTCTCCAATCGCCTCGCTCTGATACCAAATTGTTGAATTTAAAGGCCAAACGAAAATGATTTTGTTAACAAAAATATTTTCTTTACAAACACATACTTTGCATTTTCTCTCTTGCACACTCACTCTCTTTGCACTCTTTCACTTACACACTCAAATACACTACTAATGTAATGAGCACACACACACACACACACACACATATATAGACATTGGATTAATCTACACAAATGATGACGATTCTAGATAAATCCATAAATTAATTATAAGGAATTCTCATGGACTCTAAAATTATGGTAATTTATGGATTCTTCTATGTTTCTTTAGTTAGTTGCATAAGGAAAGATCTAGAAAATAGGTGATGATTCTTTAAGAGATGAAGAAAATGGTCCTAGAGTGGAAGAAATTTGCTCAAGATTCTATTAAAAAATTAGAAGGATAATCTTAAAAGAATCTGGAAAAACTAATACATCAAGTTCTTATTTATTCAAAATTTTAGATAATTAAATTAATTGCTTTCTTTTATGAAGCATCATTTTCCCACCTTAGCTTTATCTTTTATTATTATTATTGTTATTGTTGTTGTTGTTGTTGTTGTTGTTCTTAAATTTAAAGCTGAAGGAGATTTAAGAAAGTTGGAAAGGAAGCTTTTGGAAATCAATGGTAAGTACAATAATTTTATTTGTTAAATACAAAGTTGTTTTCCGACGGAATAAATCCGTGGCTAAATTGAATTACATGGAAATTTTAACAATAAAATTTGTAGTAACTATCAATTTTCCAATCAATAGAGTTCCAAATACATGGAAAAGAATTGATATCGACACCGACGTGACTAAACTTGATTGGCCTTTTTTTCCCATTCTTGCTTGCTTTCTTTAATTCATTTTATATGATTTTTCTCTATGAAATTGTAGAAGGAAGTTTATTTTATGATTGAGGGTGAAATGTGAATAGCTACAAGGAAACGGTGTCATTTATAGTCTTTACTCAATTTGAGTGTTTCTTGTCCACAAAATGTTTCACATTCTAATATATAGAATTTGTAAGAAATCGCGTGTAGAGACATATTTTGGAATAAAAAAAATGTTTTAATTACAGAATTTTTAAAATCCGAAACACTAATGTTAGTCGCATGTACATGACATCAAATTAAGTTTATATGCTATGTTAATCTCCCAATTTTTTTCAATCATGCTGGAAAGTATATAATTATTAGATATATTAAGACTCAATGTTTCTTATTAAAAGTTAAATTTTGTAAAAAGATACGTTAATCAGCTTAATGCTCAAATACAATACAAATGAAGATGAGGTAAAATTTATACAAGTAAAGAATATTCTGGATGTTAAATCTAATCTGTACAAGTAGAAAATGAATCAATGGTGATCCATAATTTAAGGGTGGTCCAGCAACTAGGAGGGGGGAGAGAGAGAGAGAGAGAGAGAGAGAGAGAGAGAGAGAGAGAGAGAGAGATGAGTGGAATTCTGATGCACCTCA